ACAGATGAACGTTATTTGAAGATATCCACCAGTGTAATGTATTTTTAATTGTGAATAATCCACTTATATACATTATGTTGAAATGTAAAAGCAATTTAAGTTTATTATGGTGATAAAATGTATAAGATACATTTTATAAGTAAAATGTCAGCAGCTTACTTAGGAATTTAATTTAATTTTACAATTGGTTACTACATATAATATTTTAAAATTTGCTCTCTTTCCTTAATTTATATTTTCAAATTGTATTTTTTATAAAAGGCACAGTAGCTACACATGATCATGCATTTAATAATCCTTCAGATAGTTACTGAAACTGTGGCGATTTTTCAAATAATACAAACACATTGTCATATAATAAAAAATATGAAATCCAAACACAATAATAAAATATACTATAGCAAGATGAAACACTTTAAAATCGATCACACAAATTCATATACTTATAGAATAAACATCAGATAATTATTAGGAATGGTGCAGTACGGGACTGACTAGTAACATAAAGTTACATGTAGATTCATCATATAATATACACTGCTCAAAAAAATAAAGGGAACACAAAAATAACACACACTAGATCTGAATGAATTAAATATTATTCTGAAATACTTTGTTCTTTACATAGTTGAATGTGCTGACAACAAAATCACACAAAAATTTAAAAATGGAAATCAAATTTTTCAACACATGGAGGTCTGCATTTGCAGTCACACTCAAAATTGAAGTGGAAAAACACACTACAATGCCTGTGCATTCTCCTGATGAGGTGACGGATGGTCTCCAGAGGGATCTCCTCCCAGACCTGAACTAAAGCATCTGCCAACTCCTGGAGAGTCTGTGGTGCAACGTGACGTTGGTGGATGGAGTGAGACATGATGTCCCAGACGTGCACAATTGGATTCTGGTCTGGGGAATGGGTGGGCCAGTCCATAGCATCAATGCCTTCGTCTTGCAGGAACTGCTGACACACTCCAGCCACATGAGGTCTAGCATAGTCTTGCATTAGGAGGAACCAAGGGCCAACTGCACCAGCATATGGTCTAACAAGGGGTCTGAGGATCTCATCTCAGTACCTAATGGCAGTAAGGCTACCTCTGGCGAGCACATGGAGGGCTGTGCGGCCCCCCAAAGAAATGCCACCCCCCACCATTACTGACCCACTGCCAAACAGGTCATGCTGGAGGATGTTACAGGCAGCAGAACGTTCTCTACGGCGTCTCCAGACTCTGTCACGTCTGTCACATGTGCTCAGTGTGAACCTGCTTTCATCTGTGAAGAGCACAGGGCACCAGTGAAGAATTTGCCAATCTTGGTGTTCTGGCAAATGGCAAATGCCAAACCTCCTGCACGGTGTTGGGCTCTAAGCACAACCTCCACCTGTGGATGTCGGACCCTCATACTACCTTCACGGAGTCTGTTTCTGACCGTTTGAGCAGACACATGCACATTTGTGGCCTGCTGGAGGTCATTTTGCAAGGCTCTGGCAGTGCTCCTCCTGTTCCTTCTTGCACAAAAGTGGAGGTACCGGCCCTGCTGCTGGGTTGTTGCCCTTCTATGGCCTCCTCCATGTCTCCTGATGTATTGGCCTGTCTACTGGTAGCGCCTCCATGCTCTGGATACTACGCTGACAGACACAGCAAACCTTCTTGCCACAGCTCACATTGATGTGCCATCCTGGATGAGCTGCACTACCTGAGCCACTTGTGTGGGTTGTAGACTCCGTCTCATGCTACCATTAGAGTGAAAGCACTGCCAGCATTAAAAAGTGACCAAGACATCAGCCTGGAAGAATAGGAACTGAGAAGTGGTCTGTGGTCACCACCTGCAGAATCACTCCTTTATTGGGGGTGTCTTGCTAATTGCCTATAATTTCCACCTGTTGTCTATCCCATTTGCACAACAGCATGTGAAATTGATTGTCACTCAGTGTTGCTTCCTAAGTGGACAGTTTGATTTCACAGAAGTGTGATTGACTTGGAGTTACATTGTGTTGTTTAATTGTTCCCTTTATTTTTTTGAACAGTGTATAAGATCAGACTTGAAAAAAATAACTTTCTGATGAAAAGGTATAATGAATTGTAGGATAAGGTACAAAGGGAATGGGCATTATAAAGTGTATATAGTGTGATGCTGTGCTGGAGCTATCCACACAAGCAATCAAGGATTTCTTGTAATACAGTTTGGGCATGGGGAAGGCAAACATATGCTAGTGTTTTGGATCAAAGAAAACTTTGATAATTTGTCTATCTACAGCTTCCAAATTGATTAATTAATGCGTGCACGCTTTCCCTAGAAGTAATTCACACCGGAGACAAAGTTTCTGATCAGTGAAAAACCCAGGAATGCTTTATTCCCCGGAGTGGGGGCTCCTTCTTAAAGCAAAAATACGTCACAGTTTAAACATACAGTATACATTCACCATTTGGTTAACAGAGAAAGGGGGGTCTTGTTTAAACCCCCCTACAGGATGTAGTGTCATCATTACAGACTTCTGGATACACGATGGGAGGGGGAGTGAGTAGTTTCTATCAGTTCTAAACCACTGATTCTCCATTTTGTTATACGTGGCATATAGCTGTTAACTGGCACAAAGGTAGTGGGGGAGGCTAGCAGGATGTGAGGAATTTACATAGTAAACAGCAGCTGAACACATTGAAAGGGGGAAGGGAATATTTACTCTAGAAGCCAGTTTTAACATAGTGAACAGAGAATAAATAGACATTAGTAAATAGCCATTTTATTTTAATTCATCTGTCCATAACAGTCCCCCCTTAAAATGGCAATTTTTACTAAAACTACTATCTCTCATTCTAATACTGTCCCTATAGAAAAATAACAAAAGGCTATCTTGCACATCTGTCTGAACAGGCCTCGAACACTTCACTGCGCGGGTAACCCATAGCAGCTTGTCCACTACTTCTCCCGCGGCAGACTTCTGCCCGTAGAGACAGACGCTATCCCTAAATGTCCTTAAGAGGAAGTAGCTGTTGATTTAGTGCGGTGGGACTGTAAGGGTGTATGTGGTGTATCACGGTCGATGTCGTCAATCTCTTGGTGAAGGAAGGTCGGGGTGGTCTGGTCGATTGTCTGATCAACTGTCTTTTGTAGGCATTTCTTAAGACAGGGTAACACACAACAAACAAGAAGAGCGAGGATGATTATCGTTATTAAAATGGCAACACCTATTTGGGCCAGAGCACCTTGCCATCCAGACATCCATCCAAACCATCTTTCCCATGGATCTGTGGCCCCAGAATTTCGTTTCAGTTCATTGGACAAACTCTTTAACTTTTCTATTGCCAACGTTACCTTACCATTAGGGCCTGTATTATCTGGAATATAGGTACAGCATGTCATGGTGTCTGGGAGTATTTTACATACTCCCCCTTTCTCCGCCAGGATCATGTCTAAGGCCATTCTATTCTGGAAGGTCATCTGGGAAGTAGCTTGTAATTGTTCCGCCAAACCTTGGAGGGCATCTCTTGTATAATTTACAAAACGTTGTTGGTTATAATAGATGTAATTGATCCAATTTAAATTTTTATTGGCCGTGATGATTGGGAAAATAGATTCGAACCCTGCGGACACTTCATCTCTTGCTTTAAACTCATTCGGCACCCCCCTTGGCACTCCTATGGCATCTATGTAAATATGAGGATCAAAACTGCCTTTTACAGGAGTATCTCTCTTTATTCTAGAGTATTGGTGTGATGTACCTGGGTTATCTTGGTGTCCATCAGAGATTATGTGTATAGGCATAATTACCTTAGCTAGGGCACATTCTCCCCACCATACGCCTTCCAATCTGGTTCTAATCTGCATATCCCCACAAATCCAATATATGTCTCCAAGGGATCTTATTTGTTGTTGGATTAGGGTGGGTGGAATTGGGCTATATGTGGCACAGTACTTTCCAGTGAAATTACCAAAGAATTGGCCTACCCCATCATATATACCATAACAAGTGTAGTTACCTGGGTATATGGTGATACCTTTATCTGGCTTAACATCTTTAAGGATAATTGGGTATTCCTTTACCCATGATTCACATTCCGTCCGGTCAGTTTTAAGTATAGTATAGAGACTTAGGAAACACATCTCTATCTCCGGAGGTATGTTCAAAGGGACAGTACCTAAGTGAGGCCTCGCTCCTCCACAGACATAGCAGTTAGATCTGTTGTGTTTGTTAGCGTTATATTTCATCCACTCAAGCCATAAGTTAGTGTCAGAGAAACCCGTCTCTACAGCCATAGTGTCCTCATACGTGGGGTTAGCTATAGCTATCATCTCTTTTAGAGTTTTGATATGTGGCCTAAGAGGATTAATAGTCATGTGCGTGGCACCTACCCATTCAGGTGCGTCATACATGTCCCGTAAGTAAAAGGTCCCCTGTTTATTGTATGAACCTCCTCCCTTCCAGTACATTCCCATTACATATTGCCCAGCATCTCCAGGACTGGGATGCTCTATGTTTAAAGCTAGTTTCATAGGTGTCGCCCCCCCTGGTTTCCTGAACGTCATTCTTTTCAGTAAGGACTCCCCATTTGTATCTAATCTGTCTAAGGCACTTTGTGGTCTATAGCCCCAAGCTGGCCCTGTATTCCAACCTACTGCCTTCCATGAGCTACACTCATATCCCCAGTAGTCATCAGTCACACATATGTATGGGTCCTTAATGTTAGGTATGTCTTTGTACACTGTTGACAACAATGCTGGTGGAAATGTACAATTTACAATATCACAATAATCAAATGCAAATGTGGCTACCCGTGTACTAGAGGAATTGTATCAAAATGTATAAACATGATTGTCTTTGGTTATAGCGACTTGTTGGGCCTTTATCAGACCTAGCAGCAAGAACAAATACACAAAATTCATGCTATAACAGGATCTGCTTCCTCTGGATCTGGGACTTTCTTGCAATGTGAAGCGTGTATCCAAGAGTTCTTTCCAGCCAATTTAACTGAGGTAGTCGTGGTTAGAACGGACCATCATATCTGGGTTCAAGGGTATGTTTTCTCAGGAACTTCTTAACCAGAACCCAATCACCAGGGAGCAACTTGTGTGTGCCTGTATCGGACTCTGGATCTGGAATGGAAGAAAACACTTGGGCATGTATCTTGTTTAAAACTTGGGAAAGAGCAGTCACATAATTAACCATAGTATCTGATTGCAGTTGGAGTTGTTGAGGAAAGTAACAACCTAACCTAGGGGCTGAACCGAACAAAATCTCATAAGGAGACAGGTTAAACTTCCCTCTTGGTGTGTACCTAACACTAAATAGAGCTATGGGGAGACTCTCTGGCCAGGGCAGGTTAGTTTCTTGGGCCATCTTAAGCATTCTGGCTTTTAAGGTGCCATTCATGCGTTCTACCTTACCACTACTTTGTGGGTGATAGGGTGTGTGGAATGCAAGGGTCACCCCGAGTGCTGCCCAGACTTCCTTAGTCACTAGTGCTGTAAAAGCCGGGCCCTGGTCACTTTCAATCACTTCAGGAACTCCATATCTACAGACAATTTCAGTGAGCAACCGCTTGGCAGTGGTCTTGGCGGTCATATTAGTGACCGGAAAAGCTTCTGGCCATCCTGAGAACAGGTCCACCATAACTAGGGCATATTCATACCGGCCACTCTTTGGCATCTGAATGTGGTCAATTTGGACTCTCTGGAATGGGTAGTGTGGCTTCGCCAGGTGTTTGGGGGACACTTTCTCCAATTTTCCCGGATTGCACTTGGCACAGATAGCACAAGACTTACAGTAGGTTTTAGTCAGAGTGGTAATACCTGGTGCTTCAAAATATTTAGCAATTAAAGAGTTCATGAGTGTCTTAGAGAAGTGCGCTGCTCCGTGGGCCCACTGAACCACAGCCGGATACATACATTTAGGTAGACAAAATTTGAGATTGCTAGTATATACTCCATCCTGCAAGGTTTCTCCTTTCTGTTTCCAGCTTTGCTTTTCTTCAGGACTTACAGCTGCTTGCTGTTCTTTCAAAAACTTGAGGTCTGTAGGTAAGGTTTGCATGGGAAAAATAGGAATTTCCGCACCGGACACTCTTCTGTCCACTTCCCTTGATTGACATGCAGCATCTTTGGCGGCTTGGTCAGCTTTATGATTGCCATATGTTTCTTCCGAATTCCGTCTTCCATGGGCTTTTACTTTCAGTATGGCCACTTCTTCAGGAAGGAGTAAAGCATCCATCAATTCCTTGATAGCTGTACCATGTTTAACTGGTGTACCGGTCGCTGTCAGAAAACCTCTTGTTTTCCATATTAATCCAAAATCGTGTGCTACGCCCAGGGCATATCTTGAATCCGTGTAAATATTAACACGTTTCCCTTCAAACATTTGGCATGCTACAGTGAGGGCTTTTAGTTCCGCTTCTTGAGCAGACATAGACGGGGGAAGTGGGGATGCTTGAAGTACCTGATCTACTGTGGTCACTGCAAATCCAGTGTGGTATCTTCCTTGTTCATCCGCAAATCTGGAGCCATCCACAAACAGTGTGCAGTCAGGATCTGGCAAAGCCGTTTCATGTACTGTAGGAAGATGGGCTGTTTCCATCTTCATCTGTTCAAAACAGTCATGGGGAACATCTGGGTCAGGATCTATGGGAGGGGCATCTTCACATATTTCTGTGTGATATTGTGGGTAACCAGTAGTCTTACAATTCACAGTTCGTTTGGTAACACCTTCTGTGGAGAGTTGGTCTTGATCTGTGGCACTCCATTCTTTGGCTAATGGACCAAGTTCCTTCCATGAGATATTTGGAGATTTAGTAATAGAGACATGAGGAATTGCCATCTCCCAATGGTGGTACATATGAGTCACTTCTGTGGGTAATTGAACTAAAACTACAGTGTTACCTTTTGTATCACAGTATATGTCTGTCAAAGTGAGACGTACTTCAATCAATTGAAACAGTTCTTCTTCATACTGAGGGTCAGGCCCCGGAACGTCTCTGAACCACAAAGTACAATGCCATAGAGAAGATGGCTGTTCATCGTGTGGTACTGTGGGCATATGGACATCCAGATCAAGGAAGGCATCAGGATCTATGTTCAGACTGTACCAATAGTGTGGTACTCCCCCCTTGGGAAGCGGCAGAAGAGTGGCAGGATTCAAAGTGTAACATCGCTGTAAGGAGACATTATCGGGTAACATTAAAGTTGTTTGGAGACGAAGATGCCTTTGAGTAGAGAGATGTTTAGGTTGAACTTGATTCAATATCGCAGAAAGATCATGGGGGGCGAGAATGGTTAGCTTGTGACCAAGGATTATGTCACACGTCTTGTCCAGGAGAGCACTTGCCGCAAATACAGCCCGAAGACAGGAGGGTCCTCCCCTGGCCACAGGATCCAACTGACAGGAGTAATATCCTATTGGACGTTGACGAGACCCATGAGACTGAGTGAGAACACCAGATGCATGTCCCATTTTTTCGTAGACGAAGAGCTTGAAGGGCTTCTCGTAATTGGGAAGGCCCAGAGCAGGAGCAGTAACAACAGCACGTCGTAATGCGAAGAAGCTGGTAAGGGCTTCAGGAGATAAATCAAACGGTTCAGTTTTGAGGGCATCGTAGAGTGGCTGCATCAGTGTAGAGGCTTCAGGAATCCAGGCTCTACAGTAAGAGATAAGACCTAGGAAGGCATGGAGGGACTTGTGAGCCGATGGAGGGCAGAGTGATGTGATACCCCGCACTCTGTCTCTCGTAAGGTGCCGGGTGCCATGAGAAAGACAATGCCCCAAAAATATCACCGAGGGTTGGCACCACTGCAACTTCTTCTTAGATGCTTTACAACCTTGGGCGGCCAGGAAACAGAGGAAATCTTCAGAGGCACATTCTGCAGTCGGGAGATCGTCAGCACAGAGAAGGAGATCGTCCACGTATTGCAGGAGGAACACGTCTGTGTGAGATTTCTGCCATGGTTCCAGGATGTATACCATGGCTCTTGCAAACTGGCTTGGGGAATTTTGTGCTCCCTGGGGCATGACTGTCCAGGTATATTGTTGGCGGTCATGGGTAAATGCAAACAGGTATTGACAAGAGGGATGCAAAGGCACGCTGAAGAAGGCATTGGCCAAATCCACCACCGTGAAGAATTTAGCTGAAGGAGGGACCTGGGATAGAAGAGTATGAGGATTTGGAACAATGGGAGTTTCCAAGACGGTAACATCATTGACTGCTCTGAGGTCTTGAACCATCCTGTACTTGTCCGGTTCGCCCTTTTCGGTCTTTTTCTTAACTGGAAACAAAGGAGTGTTACAAGGCAACACACATTTAATCAGAGCACCCGCAGCCAGCAGAGTTTCAACCTGTTTGGAGATAGAGAGGGCCTGAGCAGGTGTCAATGGATATTGTGGTCTTCTGGGCGGACTTGCTCCTTGGAGCAACTGCACAAATATCGGAGGGACTTTAAGTCGTCCAATATCATCGGGACCAGTAGACCACAGTTGCACAGGAACTCTGTCAAGTGCACTGGGGGAATTGTCTAGGACCCTTACATTCCCATGGGGTGACTCCATGTGGAGTAGGAGGGGTAAAGAACAAAGGGCTGAGGTATCTTCACTGGAGAGAGGGGTCAATAACTGAACCTTGCCATCTGGAGTAAAGGAGATGGAGGCCTGCAAGCGGGACAGAACATCAGCTCCCAACAAATTAAGAGGACAAGAGGGAGACACTACAAAACGAGTAAGGAGATCAGGGAAAGTACCCACCCGTAAGGGCTTAGTTAATGGGTTGCTACAAGGGGTACCGTCTGGACCAGGGTATGTACGTGTAGGTGTAGTTGAGTAGTATTGTTGTTGAGCATGTTGTGCAGGGCGTCGGTGTCTAGGCATAGGACGATTAGAGGGCAGATAATTGGCTGAGGCTAGGTCATCAGGATAATAAGTAGTATAGTTAGCATAATTGGAATCATGTGTCGGATAACCTAGCGCTTGAGCAGGAGGATAACCGGCCACAGGATACAGTGGCCGTAGAGCCTGTGTGCGCTGCCGAGGTGCTGGAAAACCTGGACAATCCTTCTTAAAATGACCTAGTTGCTTACAGTGAAAACAAGTTCGACCTTGTGGTCTTGGAACCTGAGCCATGAAAGGGCCCGGTAGTGTGGTAACAGGGAACCCAACAGGGGCAGGTGTAATTGCAGGGTTATGTAATGAAAACATTAAAGGAGTGGATTTCTTGTGCTGGGGCAATTGGATCGACTCCAGGCCTTTAGCGACCAGGAGGAGAGTATCCATGGGAATTATCCTGAATTCGGGACGGGACAGGACCAGGCCTTTCCTTATAGGTTCTTTAAGGCCTACAACGAAAGCGGCTGATAGCATCTGGGTGTGGGCCTTATTACATGTATTGAAACCCAGATCAGAAAAGGTTTGAGTTAACCTGGAATGAAATCTTTCAACCGTTTCTGATTTTTCTTGAACAATATCAGCAATAGAAGTAGACTGATCAGTCAACTTATCTTGAGCCCATGCACGGAGTTGTTCACAAAATGTGATATCAGACTGATAATCCGTGTCTGTAGTGAGACGGGCATCATCAAAGCTCTTTTCCATTATGGGCCAGTAAGCATCCCCTGCCTTAATTTCACACAGACTAAACAAATCACGCCATGCTGCAGAGTAAGTTTTACGGATTTGAACAATCCGACGGAAAAAGGGCATGGGCTGTTTCTCAGGGTCAGGAAGTGAGTGTACCAGTGTTGCAGCTTGGGACGGGTTGAAGGTAACATACATTAAAGGGGCACCCTCCTGATCATGCTGGGTACTGCAAGCACCTGCTATGGGAATGTGAGGCAGATTAGTCGGGGTCTGTGGAGGCTGCACCCCCTGGACACTACCATCAGCAGGGGGAATGGGAATCTGTTGGCTGGATACACAAGCCATGTCAGGAAGAACTGAAATCGGTCCAACAGTAGTACTGGCCGCAGGGTGACTAACTGTAGGAGTAATGTGGACCGAATCAAGTTGTGAGGCAGGGGGAGAAGTGACTGATGTAGCAGTGGAGGTAGCAGGATAATAGCCTGATGCTGCAGGGGTAGCAGCAGGAGGATAGCCTGATGCTGCAGGGGTGACAGCAGGAGGATAGCCTGATGCTGCAGGGGTAGCAGCAGGAGGATAGCCTGATGCTGCAGGGGTGACAGCAGGAGGATAGCCTGATGCTGCAGGAACAGTGGATCCAATAGTCATAATAGGGAAAGATACACTGGGGGCAGTTATGAGACGGGCGGGAATGGAAGAGGATACAGAAGGGAGGGAGGAAGCGACCACAGGGGTGTTGGTAGGGGAAGTTACCATCATGGAAGGGATGGGTGTGTTAGAAACAGGAAATGGTGACAGTGAAAGGGGAGAAGTTATAGGGAGATGTGAAAGGAATTGGGCGTGGACAGAAGCAACAGGAGTTGGAAGAGAGGGTGTAGCAGCAGAGATGGGCAAGAGAGGAGGAGGCAAAGAAACAGGAAGGGAATGTGTGACTGGGATTTGGAGTGGAGAAGGAGAGGGGGCTGGAAAATAACATGAACCGTCTGCCTTAAGGACAGGGTACAAGGCAGCAGGGGCTGGAGAGCACGTGTTAACATGAATGGGCTGTGTGGAGGCTCCAGGGGCTGGTTGAGCCACCCCCCTTTCTGGCCAGGCCTTATCATATGGAGGAGGGCTGGAAACGCCTTCAACAGAT